TTTTTTAAAAATCCGTTGCGATTATGATAATGTAATATAGATCTTTGCATGGATTGCGTTATTTCTTCAAGCATTACATAGAGACTTAGAAAGTAGCAACTTCTTAAGTTAAAGTAAAAGGGATGAGTACAATTGAAAACTAACTTTGGAATAACTCTCCTTTTACTATACACTACATTCTTTCATTATTTCTGTAAAATCTTGCTTTTTCCGTTTCGTAGGAGGCTTCTATACGAGCATTGCCAGTAGCTCCTTCTTTCTTGCTCTCATCAGCATTAAATTGTCTTTGATAAATAGAATACAGAAAGAAGCATAGTGCATTTTTAGATGTCACTGGATGTTGGAGGTTTCGCATCCAGTCTCGATGCTGTCCTTCAGGATGCAGGAGCTCTTCAAGCTTTTCGGGAATGGATCCTTCTTGTGAGTAGGATGTGCCTAACAAATTGATAAGTACTGAAGAAAAATGAAATTTTATTGGTTGGAAGAAAACCTTGAGTATTCACAACATTAGAGGAAATTTTTAAAAGCTTTGTTCTATCAAAATGTTTTGGAGAGGAATCCTTAACCTTTTAAAGTAATAAAAACTGTCTTTAGGATCCATCTCGACCAGCTGATTGCCTCGCTTTACATTTCGCCATCAAAGGATATCAAACGTTTCTCTCCAAAAGCGATCCAAACACTTCCAGCATGGCTTGCACCTTACATCGGAAGTTTATAAGGTTTTTAACCTACTCCTGAGGTGTCGCAATATAGAATAATACGTAAAAATTGATGCTTTAGTCAACGTACGGGTACTTGTTCGTTTCTTCCTGCTTCGGTGCGCAAAGAGATGTCCACTCGGGTTCATTCTCTAAATAGTCAGCAGCCTCCTTATCCTGAATTGTTTGATCCGGTGCAACCAGCGCTAAGGAAACAGCTCCACATGCTCCATGCGCAGTTCGTCGCCTCCCATACATTTTTAGCGGTAAGAAGCAATTTCTTAGAATTAGTGTAATCTGAGAAAATGTAACATGCTTGCAGTTCCTCGCGCAATATGGCAGCGAAGGTTCCTCCTCATCTACACCACAGGATGAAATCCATTTGCCTCGAAACCCCTATTTTGCGCCAACATCGACTATAATGCGTGACTATAGTAAGAAAAATAAAGGGTAAGAGATATTTTTTCTAATATTACGATAAAATCAAACCTGAGATGATGAGAAATTCAGAAGAGCTGCTCAAAGCCATCACTCAAAATCGTAAAACTCAAGTTTAGGTCTAAAACTCGTGGCTATTTGTGTGATGCCTCTACCAGTCGCGACAATGACGGCAGCTCTCGCGGTATCACCGTCGATCGAGAGAGACACCTGTTTAAGGTAAGCGTGTCATCACATGACTTCTATAGGTGTTATGCTTTTCTAACATAACCGAAAGCGCTATTGCAAGTTGAATGGATTGTTAAGGACACTGAATTTGGAGTAAGGAAAGTGATTTTCAAATTAATGGAAATTCAATGACAAATTTG